CAGTTATAGTGGGGATGAAGTGCAGAATGTATGGCTTGTGTTTCGATCTGGGTCATAAATATATTGGCAAGAATGGATGAAACAGGATTGCCCATACTTAAACCATCTATTTGAAGTAAACTGTTGAAAATGAAGTTGGTTTCAGCCGTTGTAAATTCTAAGACAGAAGCAAAAAGTGTGCTGGGGATGTGCATTAACTTGTTGGGGTCATTAATGTAGAGGTCGAGTGCAATATTGCAAGCTTCATTGACGGGGACTTCAGTGAAGAGTGACACAACATCAAAACTAGCCATTAAGGCTTTCGAATTTAGTTGTTCTAGATTATATTTGAAATTGAAGGTGTCTTTAAAAATGAACCTGCAGATGTTACATATGGTCTTTATTTTAATCTATGTAAAACTGATTCACGCACACCACAACTCTATGGCATTCCTAAACCACACAAACAAGATTGCCCCTTATGACTTATACTGTTCACTTATGATTCATTCAACTACAATCTTGGCAAATACATAGCCTGAGCTCTCACACCATATGTAATATACATACACACATATATTGTTGATTCTTACTCTCGAGAATCTTCCACAACTTTGGAGAATAGACGAGAGTTTTGCTATACATATCTAACATTACAAGCTATACGTGTTGCTAAATATAAATGTTGATATTAAAATAAGTATATAATAACAAATTCGTTACACATGTCAATATCAGTTTTTGTGCAACAGAAAATATGAAAGTATTGATTACTACAGAGAAGGTGACCCCAAGAGACGAGCTTTCATTTTGCAATGAGTGTTTGTCTGTTTAATTTAGCAAATGCTAATGAAGTGTTTATTGAAATACTCAATTACTTGTAATGTCGCATGTTTTTCTCCTCTCAAAATGGCCTCAGATGTGATGGATAGTAAGGATTGTTTTCAGCATGTACTCTGAACTTTTGTCAATTTGAAACATCTGAAAGCAGAAGAATGCGACTGCTTAATCAGACAGAATGACTTGTTTTAATCATGGGTTGTGCAGCCAAATTCCCACATATTCAAGGATTTTGACCTCAAAACTGATAGCTTGACTGCTTTTTGTTTAAACATGTGGGCCAAGCTATGGATTACGAGTTCTTATGGTGTGTTGTCAAACTCATTTTGATACTTTCTCATGGCCAAGCAACTGTTGAAAGGGCTCTTCTGTGAACGAAAGGTTAATGCTTCAAAACTTGAAGGAAGTCTCCCTTGTTGATCAGCAGTTAATCTATGATTATGTGCAGTCAGTTGAAAGTATTCTGGAAGTGTTTATGTCGAAGAAACTGCTCACTGTTGCTCAAAATGGTAGACAGAAATATAACTAATACCTCGATCAAGAGAGGGAGACAGCTGAACTGAATGAAAAGGAAACTTATCTTTGAGGATATTGCAAAACTTAATGCTAAAATGCCAAAGATTTGAAAAAGATATAGCATCCTTAATTGAGGCTGCTGATGGTCTTGCTGACAAGGCTAAAAACTAGGCAATATGACTGATTTGGCAAAATCAAATAGTATCAGGAAAATAGCAAAAGAAAAGTCTTTAGAATAAAACATTTTACATGGTAAAATTGCAAAGATGATGGAAAAGTCAAAGAATTGTTAATCTATGTGCTAGTTGTACATGTTTTTACTTTTGCACAATATATACAGAATAAACTGTTAATGTAGATTATATGATTTATTTCATGTTATATTTGGTCTGGAAAATCAGTTTTGAGGGCTATGGAAAGTTTTTAGGAAAATCATGGAAATCTAAATTACCAAATGTTGTTACTATAGAGTTTGCTGTATCTGCTGATCTTTAATTGAACTTTTGTGCAATAAGTTTAAAAAAGCTTCTAAGTTGAAAAAAAATTGCATTTTCCATAACTAGAAGAATGTAGGACCAAGAGGGGAGAGTCTGTCACTCTCCTCAAGAGGAGATGGTTGTCCAAGAGAATTGTCAAGTCTATGAGAAGTCTTTTCTGGATGTAGGACTTTTCCCAATGCTCCAAATATCCAGGAATTCTATCTCAGTACAACTAATGACTTGGGAAGAAGAATGAATGAGTTGCTGACTGCACATTGTCTTTCTACCACCTTAGAGCAGGTGCCTGTAGACCATCAGAGTATCAAGGTCCCTGAGAGCCCCTACTATGCTGTGCCTATGATGTTGAGGACATCTTGGTCAGGTGATGGTTGGGAAGAAGAGCATCTGGCTATGATCATGGTTCCTATGCCAACATTTAAAGGCACAACAGAGGATGATTTTGACAATTTCCTGAAGCATTTCAGACAAGTAAATGCCTGGAATGGTTGCACTCCAGAACAGGCAGTACAATTCCTCATTTTGAGTTTAAATGTTTGGGTTATAGATTCCATCAAACATTTGCAAGAGACAACTCTGGGACTGTGAGAAAATCATTGCTGATTTACACCAGAAGTTCTACCCAGCAGAAAATAAAGCATTCAGTTGAACTGAATTCAAGGTTTGGATGAGGGGTACCATGGAAAGTTTAGCACTTATGTGAACGATCTGTGATAATTTTGTGGAATGGCTACTTCTTGAGATATTTAAGCAACATTTGGATGTGAGAAATATTCTCATCCTTAATGAGGCAGTTTCTGTTCAAATTTGATATGAAGTAGTAGCTTTGAGCTGGTTAGAAGCCTGTAGCAGCTGCCGCAGTGATTTTACTTTGGACAGACCATCCTGCCCAGGCACCCATGTCGTGCCAAGCTCAAACCCAGAAGAAGGTAAACCAAACACTGTGATGCAACAACACTGGTAGCAAGTGAAAGGCAGAGCTTTATGAACTCTCCTATAATGTATGTGACACCAATGTCTCTACCAGGATTTTGTTTTGGAAGGGAGTTACAAAGTATCTGCTTTGCGTGTGGAATGTTGGGCCACTTTGAAGTGATTTACTCATACTATGCCAAGCAGCAAAGTAGACTAAGCTATTGGTTCTGACCAACAATATAACAGGTGCAGGAGAGCCAAAGGAGGCAGTGAATTTTGCTGCTATAGCTATGGAAAAATAGAGGAGCCCAAGTTGGACCCGAACACCAACTTTTTGGAGTGCAATGAACAGCCTGTACCATGAAAGTATGGTGGTCAACCCAGCTGTCTCCGGGTTGAGTGGGTCTTGGTATGTGCCTATCTTAGGATGAGAGAGTTCCTGGTTTAAAAAAAGGAGCAGCCAGAATACTGATAGATCTCACAGTTTGTCAATCATTCTGAACAAAACCACCTCTCAGGTCAGTTGACGTGGACTTTGTTCTGACAAATGGAAATAAACTACACATGAATGGAGAGATTATGCCCCATTTATGTGTAAGAGGTTTTGCTTACAGAGCAAATGTAGTTTTTACAACAATATGTATGCTGACTGATATATCAGATGCTAGGGATCTTGCTGAGTCAGTTGTCACTGGCTGTTAGGTCTCCAAGAGCTGGGCAGACCCACCCATAAGACCCAAGACCTCACTGGATGAAGTAATAATCCCAGCTCCAGAGGCCATTTCACAGATCAACATGGCATTGCCTATTAGTGGCACAGTAACTGTTCCTAAGATTGGCAGTCAAGGAAAAGAAATAGAGGATGACTTGAAATTGGGAAACTCTCCTTATTTGACCCATCAGAAAGTGTCTGATGGCAAGGTATAGTCACCAAATGTACAACTACCTCCCATGGGATCATTAAATCTCAAAGCCAAAGTAGACCTTCCCAAAGTTAAGCTCTTCAAAGGGAGGCCAAGCGATGGTAAGAAAAAGGCAAAGAAGGATGATGCTTGACTGCCACCATCACCATCTACAGTAACTTCAGTGATTGCTATCACCAGGAACCAGCCAGGTGGTGCAACTTCAATGCCTGCACAGACTCAACCA